GCTCCCTGAAGCTGGTCAAACAAATCATATATCCTTGGAAGTGGGTAACGGTTCTTCAGTGTTACCTTGTTCAGCTCTCGGTAGTCTATGCACATACGATGTGACCCGTCCTTCTTCTTCACAAACAGGATCCGGGCTCCCCATGGTGAACTGCTTGACCTGATGAAACCCTTGTCTAGCAGCTCTTGCAGCTGCGTAGACAACTCCTGCATCTCGGGAGGAGCCAACCGATATGGTGCCTTGGCTATCAGAGCCGCACCACGGACCAGATCAATCCTAAACTTAACGTGTCTCTCCAGAGGTACCCCAGGTAAATCCTACGGGTACTCTCACACTACCGGTACATCATCAATGGTCGCCTTACCCTTATCCCGGGTATCCATGACATAGGCGACGTATCCTGTGCAACCCTGCTGAAGGTGGCGCCTCGCCCTTGCCGCTGAACATAAAATCGGTCCGCGTCGTGGTCTCTCACCCTGAATCACTAGCTCTACCCCACTAGGAGTACGAACTCTCACTAGTTGTTGCTCACAGTCAATCACTGCCCATTGGAGCTCAACCAATCCATACCCACTATAACCTTATTCCCACGCAGGGGAATAGGAACCAGATCCACTGAAAACTGTTGATCGAATAACTGTAGCGTACATCCTCTATGAACCCTCGCAACCCTGACGGTCCTATCATCGGCTATCTCTACATCAAGTGGGCAATCCAGCTCCCCCGGAGCTCTACTAAATCGCTTGCTAAGTGCGAGCGTCACAAAAGATCGGGTATCCCCCGAATCAAACAGTACCATAGCTGATATACCGTTCACTAAGAACGATCCTATAAACAAACACACAAACATGAGTAATAATCAGAAATAATAAAGAGATAATGGAGAAGATACATACCCGTAACCACATCAGGGGCTGCACGTGCCTCCTCTTTTGTCAACTGGAAGGCTCTGATCTTCGCCGCTGGCGCCTCTGCCCGGCCCTGGTGGCTGTCTGTAATTTTCATAGTGGTAGGAGCGGGTGCCACCACCTGTCCTACTGATGCTAGACTCGGACACTGGAACTTCTTGTGTCCCCTCTGATTGCAATGAAAGCAAATCAGATCAGATGTTGTGGTGGTGGTGGTAGTAGCAGTACAATCCCTGCTGACATGTCCAGTTCGGCCGCACTTGAAGCAGCCCGAACTACCCGCCCTACACGGCCCCTCATGCCCCCTGCCGCACTTTCCACAGCGGCCTCGGCCCTGCTGGCCCTTCCCTCGAGAATCTACCTTCGGCTTTTTTCCCGATCCCTTCGTGCCAGACACTGCCTCTGGCTTCCTCTTCCTCTCCATCTCCAAATCAATATCTTTCTCACGAGCCCTCGCTATCATATCCTCCAGTGTCTTGCAGCTGGACCGGCTCACAAACTGTCTGATATCACTCCTCAGCATCTCATGGTATCGGGCCTTTTTCATCTCCTCGTCGGCCACGTACTGCGGAACGAGAAGGGCCCTCTCCCTGAACTTGGCGGTAATCTCCGCCACTGTCTCAGTTGTCTGTCGGAGATCCTGGAAATCCCTAGCAAGCTGTTGCACCTCAATAACAGATGCGAACTCGGCCCTGAACCTGGTCATGAAATCACCCCAGGTCATCGGATCCAACATTGTATCATCACCAATAGCTCTCCCAACCTCCTCCCACCAGTCACATGCCCTGTCCTTCAGAAGACAGGACACAAGCCTAACCTTGTCCCCCTCGAGACATCTGCTGGTGCGGAACACGTTGGCGACATCAGCCAACCACCTGCTGCTAGCAATTGGGTCCCAAGCCCCATGATAGTCGAGAGTTCCATATGCTCTGAACTCCCTGAAAGTCATTGTACACGACCCCATCATGGCCGCTATCTCAGTGCGAAAAGCGCTCAACTTCTCATACAGAAGCTCTAAGATACCCTCCTTGACCGATGCAAAGATCACAGGAGTCTGCTCTATAATGTTGCGTGTAACCTCAGACAAAATGAACTCCCTCGTCTGCTCATCCATCTGCTCGGATCCAGAGCCCGAGCCTGATCCCTCACCAGTGCCTGAAGTGTCAGTCGGCCTAGGGCGTAGAACCACCATACTGAAAATACACCATAACAAACATCAGTATACTCATAAAATCTTGAGGGATCTAACGTACTACAAGTTTCCTGGATTAATCTCCGCCTTCCTTGATTCGAGTACGAATCCTCTGCTTTTAGTAGTACGGGCCCATACTACCTTCCACATCTATCCGTACTTTCCTCAAGAACTGCCTTGACTCCACCAAGTCCATTCTACTACTACTGATGATCTCATACTAAACTCTTCCTAGGCTTGCTCTAAGGTAATCACCAACCCACTCTCCGCCATCAACTTCATAAGAAGTCCCTGCTATCTCCCCCTAACTAGCTCGCAAATACTATTACATATCACTAAGACTAGATAATTCTTCGAATGAGAGGTTCTACCCTACAACGGTTAGACTCAAACGAGAGTTACGAAATAAGGCTAAACCTAACCTTCTGAAATTATTTAGTCCTCGCAATATGTAACTTAACATATTTGTTTACTAGTTAGTAAAAGATAACTAGAACTCCTAAAAGCACAAAGCAAGCAGCATTCGAGCATCGAGTAAACATAATCAAGCATATCTCTTTCAGGCTATCCCTGACTAATCTGTACTAGCATGTAGTTTATAAAGCTGAGATACATATAACAGGCACATAAGACATCCTTCCTAGATCCTTAGTCCTAAACTAGCATGTTGTTCTCATAAAGCTGATAATCATAACATAACATAAACTTGTATGGGTAATTGGGAGTACTTACTTGAGCTCGGTTGATTGCATGCACCACACCCTTTTATTTTTTCAAAGTTCTTTTCTCTTTTCAAAATTCTTTTCTTTTTCTCAAAGTTCTTTTTATAAAAATGATTTTCTTTTGAAAAATTTCATACCAATTCCTTAGTTTGAGTTCTGACATACCCGAGAGCGTGCTTGAATCCCTCAAACCAAGGCTTTGATACCAACTTGAAATATCCCAAAAATACAGACCAAAAATTTCTTTTTTAAAATCATTTATATTAAAACCATAAGTCACCCATCATCATATAGAAAACCATAAAACGTGTATCTCAAATCATCGTGTCAAAATATTGTATCAAAATCATATCAAAATATCAGAGTCTAAACATCCCAGGCTGAAGCTGTAGTGTGTGCCATGCGATCATCCCGAGCCCTTCCCCTTACTAGTGGAAGTACCTGAAACCAAAACTGAAAATTGTAAGCACAAAGCTTAGTGAGTTCCCCAAACTACCACATACCATACAAATATCATACAACTAGGAGATACGGGCCCCACCCACTCTCATGGAGATTCGGGCCCTGCCCACACTCCGCTGTCTAAGAGATTCAGGCCCCTCCCACACTCTGTTGTCTAGGAGATTTGGGCCCCGCCCACACTCCGCTGTCTAGGAGATTCGGGCCCCGCCCACACTCCACTACTAACATGCACACAAGTATCACACAAACAACAAGTATATCTACCAAACAATCACATATCTATACTCAAATAATATTATGAGAATCGGGCCCCGCCCACTCTAGTCTGCTACGAGATTCGGGCCCTGCCCACACTCAGCTACTAACATATCACATATACGGGCCGGCCTTGGTATCGTAGACCCGTTCCTACTGAAGGAAACTCACCTCGCAAGACTGACTGCTGAAAACTCGAGTGAGGAATCCCTGTCTGCTGCTCCGGTGACTCTCCGGCTATCAATTCCATAATAACACTTAATCAGAATCTGCTAATCCTCTCTTCGGGTAAAATGACCATTTTACCCCTGGTCAAAGTCATAGTCAAAGTCAAGGTCAACTCCCAGTCAACCCAACTCGTCGAGTTATCACCCAACTCGGCGAGTCCCTGAATGCTTAAACTCGTGGTCAACTGAGTCAACCCGTCGAGTCCCTTAACAGACTCGTCGAGTTCTTGCTGTCATAATAATCGGGACAACCCGCTTCAACTCGTCGAGTCCTTCCCTAGACTTGGCGAGTTCCCCTGTCTGATTGAGCCATCTCAATGGATTAAGCTCCTACCATTCAGATCTATGTTCCAAACTTCATCTACATACTGGAAATGCACTCTTAAGGGTAAAGTTTCCAACTTTACCCGTCCTTAGTCCTTCCTAATGGGTTTAACCCAAATCCTAACTTCTTTAAGACATAAAAGATCTTTCATACTGTGCCTAATCCCAAAATTAGTTCTATACTTTATGTTCCATCTAAGAAAAAGATTCATTCCCTTCATAAAAAATAGGAAGTAGAACCAATAAAACCAATAAAGATGTCGTTTTCCATTCATACCTGGAGTTGAATACCCCATTCAAGAATTGTTTTGGATCCAATCCATAGGAATCAATAGAAAAGGCAAATCTCTTATGATACACTTGATCCGGCTCGGTTATTGATAGAGTGAATAAATCTGCCAGTTCTTGAAATCTCTATTCTGATTCAAAATCGTGGTGTAACGTGTATCCTCCCCTGTTCCGGTCATGAAATAGATGAAATAAATCAAAAAATGGATTTTTGTTCTAGAATGAAATCTTGTTGGAACTGTCCATATCCGGTTCATCCTTCGGAACCATATCACATCCCGAATCTGATGAAATAGGATGAATTGAGACGGTATTTTGTAAATACATAATTATCTTGAATAGATTAACCATTTATTTATTTTCCAATCGCCTGAGAAAAGAAAGATCTTGTTGTTTCTTCAACAATTTCTGATCTCTAGTGGACCTCTCAGTAGGATTCGAACCCAGATGAAATTCTGACCATCTGTCAGAGAAAAAAGAACGAACGGATCTTGTAGGATTCCCAAGAATTTTCGATTTCTTCTGGAAGCAGGTGATTAATCATCTGCTTTTCACGTTCCGTGAATAGCCGGGACATTGAGCAATATCCAGAAAGGCATTTCGGGAATCGGTTTGATTCTATCTATGTCCCTTCCGTTTGAAGAAAGGAAGGATCCCAAAGAATCGATCTTTCTTTTAGTTGTTGAATATCTCTTTGATTGATCAACGTGTGATATTCCGAATCCTCATTACTAATGGAATCAAAATGATCTCTGGATTGATTAGAAGATCCTTTCAATTGGCTAGAATCCCTTACTTGAACGAAACTAGATCTTGTGGAATCATATTGAATATTTGACGATACATTCTGTACCTTGCGAAAAAATCGATCCTTGTTTACCAACCACACATTGTCTAACCATATCAAATTCTCTCTCGATACGTTCCTCAAAAGATCCGATTCGTGCGGATTCTTACCCCAACTAACGAAGAGATCTTGGCGGAATTGCCACATATGAAATTGAGCACAATATTGCAAAGAAATAGCCGACTTGTTTCTCGAGAAGAGATGGGAAACATGCTCAATATCATTTGATTTAATAGTTGACCCAGCACCTTGTTTTTTGAAAAAACCCTCAACTTCAATTGGTATTTTTTCACGAAAAGCAGACATGAGATAACAAATCCAGTGTTTCACTAAGATTTCGAATAGTGGTCCACTTTTTACAGGTTAGTGGAATCTTTATGCTCAAAATCCCGATTCAGGTAGTCATTTATTTGATACCTCCCAAGGAGCAGGAACTGCCATTTTAACCCTTCTCGGGGGATTCCATCCACAAACCCAAAGTTTATGGCTGACTGATATGGCTCATCATCATTTAGCTATTGCATTTCTTTTTCTTATTGTTGGGCATATGTATATAACCAATTTTGGGATTGGGAACAGTATGAAAGATCTTTTAGATGAGCCATCTCAATGGATTAAGCTCCTACCATTCATATCTATGTTCCAAACTTCATCTACATACTGTAAATGCACTCTTAAGGGTAAAGTTTCCAACTTTACCCGTCCTTAGTCCTTCCTAATGGGTTTAACCCAAACCCTAACTTCTTTAAGACATAAAACTTGGTCCACAAGCCATAATACCATAAACCAAAGCACAATATACTAGATCTAGGCTCTTATCATCTGTGGGACACGTAAAGTCCCAAGCTTTCCTCCCATGCATGGTCTTTTAGGGCTAAAAAGGCCATGTTCTTGCATATAAGCTTGCATGGGGTCTCCATGATCATAAAGTTTGCACCTTTATGCCATGGAACCCTTCCTAGACCCCAGATCTGAGATGTACATCACTTGGGACGTCACAATCTCAAGGGCTAAGGTTCTTGAACCAATTCCTTCATAAAATGTAAACAAATAGATCTAATAGAAGAAGGATCAAGTTAGGGACTTGATTACCAGAAAATGCAGTAAATGGAGTGTAGCTCTTGGATCTACTTCTTCCTCTTTGAGCCTTCTATCTTCTTCTTCTTCCACAAGCTTCAAAAGGAACAATAACACTCAAAATGGCAAGAACTAGCTCAAAATCACTCAAGGTGGATTAGGGTTTCGAGATTAGGGTTTGGAGGTGATAGAGGCTGGGGTGGAGGCCATATATGATGTTTAAATACGGTGCAAACCCTGAAGATTAGGGTTTCCTCTCGATGGACCTACTCGTCGAGTCCAGGCTTCGACTCGTCTAGTAGACTATTTAAACCGCGCGACCAAGCCGGCATCTACTCAACGAGTTAGGGCTACCAACTCGTCGAGTCGCTCTTACAAAATGAATACTTTAATATATTAAATGCGTACCAGGAACGGGGCATTACAAGATCCTTGAGGTATGAAAATGTTATGTAAATATGAGTTATGGGAGGGTCACGCCATGAGGGAAGCACCGTCACCTCCAAAATGACCCTTGGATAAACCCTAGTTCATTTGAAGCTTGTGTGCTCATTTTTCAAGATTTTCGTGGGTTTGAAGGAAAGAGAAGAAGAGTTGATGCTTAGGTTCAGCAAAGCAACATTTCCCTCACTTGTGTGCATCTTCTGGACTCTTTGTAAGTCCTCAACTTTCCATCTTTTAATGCTTTTCTGTAACGCCCCGTTCTTGGTACGCATTTAATTTATTAAAATATTATTTTTGTAAGAGCTACTCGACGAGTTGGTAGCCCTGAATCGGCAAGTAGGTGCCAGCTTGGTCGCGGGATTTAAATGGTCTACTCGATGAGTCCGAGCCTGGACTCGGCGAGTAGGTCCATCAGGAAGAAACCCTAATTTTCAGGGTTTGCACCCTATTTAAGCATCATATCTGGCCTCCACCCCAGCCTCCATCATCTCCAAACCCTATTATCGAAACCCTAATCCGCCATAAGTGATCTTGAGCTAGTTCTTACGATTTTTGAGTGTTTTTGTGCATTGTGAAGCTTGTAGAAGAAGTAGAGGATTGAAGACTCAAGAGAGAAGGAGTAGATCCAGGAACTACACTTCATTTACTGCATTTTATGGTAATTAAGCTTCCAACTTGATCATTCTTATCTTATATCTAGTTAACCCCATATTATGAAAGTTTTGGGTCAATAACCTTAGTCCTTGGGGTTGGGACGTCCCAAGTGACTTATATCTCAGATCTAGGATCTAGAAAGGGTTCCACGGCATAAAGGTGCAAACTTTATGACCATGGAAGCCCCATGCAAGCATATGAGCAAGTTTATGGTCTTTTTAGCCCTAAAAGACCATGCATGGAAGGAAAGTTCGAAGCTTTATGTGTCCAACTGATGCTAAGACCTTAGATGTAGGTTTGTATGCGTGGATTTGAGATTATATGGCCTTTTGGACAATATTCATGTTTTATAGGAATTAGGGTTTTGTCTAAACCCTTTTAGAAGAGCTATGAATGGGTAAAGTTGGAAACTTTACCCTTAGGAGGGCATTTCCAGTGGACAAACGAGCTAAGAACCTTAGATCTAGGACTTTAGGGGCTTAATCTGTTAAGATGGCCAAACAGACAGAAGGACTCGTCTAGTCCATAGGGGAACTCGACGAGTCGTATCGTGTTGTCTCGATTTTATGACAGCAAGAATTCGACGAGTCTGTTAAGGGACTCGACGAGTTGACTCAGTTGACCACGAGTTTAAGTGTTCAGGAACTCGCCGAGTTAGGAAATAACTCGACGAGTTGGGTTGACTGGGAGTTGACCTTGACTTTGACTTTGACTTTGAATTTGACCAGGGGTAAAATGGTCATTTTACCCTAAGAGAGGATTAGCAGATTCTGATTAAGTGTTATTATGGAATTAATACCCGGAGAGTCGCCGGAGCAGCAAACAGGGATTCCTCGCTCGATTTTCATCAGTCAGTCTTGCGAGGTGAGTTTTCTCCTATAGGAACGGGTCTAAGGCACCAAGGCCGGCCCGTTTATGTGTGATTGTATATGCCGGGGTTAGCCCGATGTAGGTTTTATGTTCCAGACCTCGGTCTGATGCCGGGCGGGGCCCGATGCAGTTAGTATGCTTGATGTCTTCGTGATTCTTGCATGAGTGTGATTAGGTGTTCCGGACTTGGTCCAATGTCGGGGCAAGCCCGAGGAATGTTAGATTTCTTGTTACACTTATGTTTATATATACGATTATGTTATGCTCATGATATGTATACTGGACTTCGGTCCGATGCGGGGCGGGGCCCGATGCCGGACTTGTCCGATGCCGGGCGGGGCCCGATGCAGTGGGCTAGGCCCAATATGTGATTGTATGTATAGTATGTGGTAAATTGGGGAGACTCACTAAGCTTTGTGCTTATAGTTTCAGTTTTGGTTTCAAGTACTTCCACTAGCAAAGGGAAGGGCTCAGGATGATCGCATGGTACACACCACAGTTCCAGCCTGGGATTTGATTTGTTTTAGACTCTGATGATTACCTATTTGATTTGATACAATATTTGACATGATGTTTTTGAGATACATGGTTCTTGTTTTATTATGACGATGGATTATTTGTGGTTTAAATACTGATTTTAAAACGAAATTTTTGGACCGTATTTTTGGGATGTTTCATTTTCTCTTTAGATCTAGGTCTTATGTCATGATTTGGTCCATTTGATGTGGTTGGTATGGTTTGAAGAGATAAAGTTTGCAACTTTATGGATTCTCTATGTCCATTGACCATCATATCTTATAGATCTAGGAATTGGTGGTGGTTTGAAGACTTTGCTTGAATCTTAGGTCATTTTGCATCTTTTGACCTAAATTTAGGAAAGTACATGCATAGGGAATGCATGTCCGTAAATTTTGCATTTTTAGGGATCATTAGGGCCCCTAAAGCCATTCTAGAAGTTTTGCATTGAACACTTTAAGAATTAAGTGCTTAAGGGGTGATTTAATGCATTAAAGTTGCTATTAAGGACCTTGGACTTGGGATCTTGTCTTAGAGTGATGTCTTAATGGATAAAGTTGGAAACTTTATACATTTAGACCTTGGGTCAAATTAGATTTGAGCTTTGGAGCTCATGAAATAAATGGAAAATGGCTTAATCCCTTAAACTTAGATAACCAATATTCACAATGTGATACCTTTACTGTCACGATGTGAGGACTAGGGTTTTCCATGATCATTTTGGATCGACTTCCGTCATGACGTGATGACCCGTACATCACGATGTGAAGAAGGGTTGGATCGAGACTAGGTTGAGCTGAGAAACGAGTTGAATCGTGACTGAGTTGGAACCGGGTCAGGTTCGTTTTGTTGGACTAGATGTCTAAGCTCATAACTGAAATTGGTATATACTTGAATTGATTGTAGCACAGCCCTTTTGGGTTGCCCTCAAACCTAGCAATTGGACATGATGACTTTTAGAAAGAGAGATTAATTTATTATGTGATTAATAATTTGAAATAAATAGTTTATTAATGTATTATGGAAATAATATATTAATTAGAAAATGTATTATTTAATTAATAATTGATCAGAAATTAATTGGAATTAATTTTGGGATTAATTAAAAGTACAAGGATTGTTTGGTTATTTTTTGAAAGTTGAAGAAGGAAGGCTCTAGAACCTTATGGGATGAGGTGGACGAAAATTCCTCTAGGGCAAGCCTAGAGGATTTCATATAAGGCTCCTTGGATAAGGAGATTGGACTGCTTGGTCACCAAGTAAATCAATCCGGGGCTTATCCCTTAAACCTTAGCTTTGGTCCCTAGATTACTCAACGATATAAGGCCATCCCTACCCCCATATTGCGTCCACTCCTCTCTTCCCTAAGGGTTGGACAAAAATTGTCTCTCTCTCCTCTCTCTTAAGTCATCTTCTTGCTAGCTTGGGTGTGAACCATTAGAGGCATGCCACTCGTGGTGTTTGCTTCCAAGAGATCTACAAGAAGGAATCATTGTTATTTACTACAATAACAATTAAGATATGTAATCCTAAACCCTAATTTGTAAATTTGGAAAATAACCTAGGGTTTCTTATTTGATGTTCTTAGTTATAGGTTCAATTGAGAAAACATAGATCCTATTTAGGTTACATGCAAACTTAAGGGTTTAAGTTTATTTGTTTTACCTAAATTCTATTAGTGGTATTAAAGCGTTTGGTTTGTTTTCAATTGAATTGCTATAATAATTGAACCTGATCAAATTAGG